GGCCAAAGGTACATTTCAAATGCCAGTGAGCGACCCATGTACCTGTTTGCTTTGAGTGTTGGCAAAGTGCTTCGTAATTGTGCTGTTTTTCATGATGCCATGTGTTTCTGTAACCCCATACCCTCCATTACAATATTCACACCCGCACTCCATTCCTCTCTCTTCTAACCATGATGCACATACCTCGCCAACCCCTTTCACCTTCTTCCAAAAACTCTCAAAAAATGTCTATGGTGCACCACATTTACACGCTACTCCTTACAGTTCCTCTGAGGCCACTGGGGGGTAAGTAAAATGTTACTATTTGTTTGATTGTTTTTTTAACAGAAACTACATTTAACACGTAGTAGTTTTTCGCGAACAATATTAAGGTTCATCGTTGAGTTTTGGCTCAGATCGCCGCGCGAGTAAAATGTGTGTTGTACATCCATCTCCACCTAGCAAAGCCGATTCATGAAGCTGTCACGTGATGAACAAACGTGACCAATGTATTGCTGCTTCAGCAAACCGGTGTGTTAAGAGCGCAATCCACAACATTTAACAATTTGGTATGACGTACTGCTGGCAATAAGTACTACATCAGTGAAACGTCATATCATATTATTAAACGTTCATCGTAACTACCAGCCAAACGTTTGACCACATTTTTAAATGGTGTGGATTGCTCTCCAACACACGTGTGTGCTGAAGTAGCAATACATTGGCATGTTTGTTCACGTGACAACTTTATTGTGTTGGGTGGAGGAGGGTGTACGACACACATTTTATTTACACAATCTGACCCAAAAATATATTATTAATCAAATATAATTTTGTATTATTATTCAAATCCATTGCCTTTGAACGAAATGTACTAAACATACTAAATGTTCTAATGCCTGAAACTGCGCATGGGATTTTGTAGGAAAAGAAACTCCAACGTTTAAAACAGTGGTGGTGATCGTGGTGATCGTGGTGGTGTAATTCATGGCAGGAAGTTTGACCGTTAATGGTGAGGATACAGCTCGCGCAATCTCACCCGAGTGGTCACCCACTATTTGCGGCAGGCTGATTGCCAAGAACCCACAGGTGGACACCACGTCGCACGTGTACCAAGCGGTGGCCAAGACCGCCACGGACTCGGACCGCTCCGAGGAGGAGATGCTGCGTCTGGGCAAGGCGCAGTCCCGCACGTTCCGCATGCTCGCGCAGCTCACCGGAACCGAGTATAGTACGTGTCCACACGGTCAAACACCCTGCGTTGAGAGGGCATCTGGCCCTTAAACTCCACGAACGATCCAACGTGAGATGAAAGCCTCCCAAATACTTTGCCGTCTCTCGCGGTCTTGCGCGTGCAACAATTCGTCTAGCTCCTGCACGTGAGATGATTTAATTGCTCCACATCTTAGGTGTGTTTCCTCTTTTGTCTTCGATCAATGTGACCACCAGCCGGCCATCCCTTCTAGGAACGTGTTCTGCCCAAGACCACCACTGCTTTGAAATGCACCTCCGCATCCTTGAATAATTTTCAGCTTTTGATCCATTTTTTTTTGCGATCGATTCTTGTGCTCAATTTATTGAGGACAGAAATATCTCTAACAATATTGCGCTTGTTAGATCAGTCAATCTCGTTCCTAATTTCACCATCTCTGGATCTTCTTCCGAGATGCCTTCATTTTGAAAAAGGTATTGATAATTATCACGTATTATGACTCTATTTAGATGCCCACCTCATTCTCCACTCCATCACTTTAACTTATATCATATTCTAATAAATTGTGTTATGTTGTAATGCGTTTTGCCCTCATTTAGTCGTTGGTTAATGTCTTCAAATATTTGGTCTACTTCATCATCATGGCTTGTTAATGAAGCCTCTATTTAAATAACCTTGAACTTGTAGTGGTTTCAGAGCTCAAAGATTATCTGATAAACTGCCCAAAGTACTCTTGATGTTTGATTCCCGGAGAACGTCGAGTTTTGGACTTTAGAACATCAACTCAGTTGACATCCAACCAATTGGGAGTTAGCCAAGCACACAGTTCACATGGTTGCATTGGTGCCCGATGAAGTCAAGTTTAACCGATTAAAGTCCGATCTCTATATAAAACGTAATTTTATGTTAATGAAATGTTTTTGTTACTATTTTTACTGCCATTTCTATGTAACTATTGTAAGGTTATTCTTACGTTATTTTAGTATTATAATCAAAACACGTATAATGTTATTAATATAAAATATACATCATGGACATTCATATTGTATACACATAAGTCATCCTTGGCAATATAACATTCTCGAGTATCATAGATACGCGATGTCTCTTTTATGTCTGGCCACATAAAAAAAAATGTTTACACAACCCATCATCCCACAGCCTTCTGGGAATGCATAATCGCAGCAGTACAAGCAGCCTCCAGACTGGTTTCAATATTTGTTTCTAGATTTGAAGCTTTCGTGACTGCAAGGATTCATACTCTTAGTTTTTTCGGTAAAGTCACGTAGGTAAAAAATGAAATTAAAATTAATAAAAATAAAATAAAAGAATAAAAATCACGACGTTTCGGAGGCAACACATGCTTCCGTCTTCAGGTGAAACCGTCACAGCAAAATATCTGTATCAAGCCTTGAATAATTTGATACATATTTTGCTGTGACGGTTTCATCCGAAGACGGAAGCTTGTGTTGCCTCCGAAACGTCGTGATTTTTATTTTCATTTTTATTAATTTAAATTTCATTTTTTACCTACGTGACTTTACCGAAAAAACTAAGAGTTTCAATATTTGGTGTCTCATCAGTAGTCAAGCTTGCTTGAATAAATGCTGGTGAATATATATATAGCTCCTAGTTCAGTGTAAAACTACAGACAGCATCGTGATCACTGCGATCAACAATCACAGCTATTCTCTTATTTAGTGTTTACTTCCACCCATATGTAAATGGACAATTTTGCACAAGGTAAGTTGTCCGATACAGCGATTAAAGAACTCGCCAGTGACTGGTGCCAGCATGTCCGCCTGCAACCTCTTTGGCCAACTATCCTGAGTTGCTTCTTCAGAGCAGATCTTTTCAGACTTATGGTTGAAGACCTTTTCCACGGTGGTGCCTTGAAAGCTGACAGGTTTAACACTTCAGCTGTCTGTCCTTCTCTGTTAAGTGTCATTGCCCAAAACGTAAGTGGTAATGACAAACTAACTCCTGCAGAGGGCTTCAGTGCTTTGCGCCTCGCCCGTCACCACCCCCCCCCCCCATGCGTGCAGATACTGACTATTGTATGTAGGGTGTGTAGGCATATATGCCTACAAAATAATGTTTTTGGGGGGGGTCAACAATTTTCAGAAACCTGTTGAATCTACTTTTAACCCCCACATCTGGGGGTGGGGGGCTCACTTTCTATAACTTCTCATAATTTAGTTGACACTGAACGCCAGGCTTTTATCATAGATACATGTGTAGTGTTGTAAATCACACTAATGGGTATATGGTCCCCTCACCCGTTCCCCTCAGAAGGTACAAGCCTCCGGACCTTGCAGGCTATCAAATCTCCCTGCTCTCCCAGCATCCTCTGGCTGGACCTAGGGGATCTCTCCCCGACCACTGGTTACACTGAGCCCGAGCCCTGACAAGGGCTGGAGGGCTTGGTCCCAGGGTCCTAGACGTCTTCGGTCGACTTGGGTCTTCGTGTAGCAGAACTGGCCAAGAGCTCTCAGCGATCTGGCTTTTATACCTGTTCGTGGCTGGGTTGTCCAATCCCCGGCCACCTTGTGGGACCCTCTGATTGGTCCTTCCCAATCTGGCGTTTGGATCCTACCTCACCCCATTTGACCCTGACCGTTTGATTGAGCGGGAAACCCTTGTTTACGATCCGCTCTCTCAGTTAGCGAACAACGAGTAGTTAACACCACTACAAAAGGCACCACTTCCAATGTAGTTGCTTATGTTGTGCTGAATGCAATGATAGTTTTACTTAGCTGTGATTGAGATGAGCAATTTAAAACATTATTCGTGTGAAAAGGATGTCTTTTGCTATGTTAATTTGAAGATTGATTTTTATGCTAAATGTTTGGAAATAACTTTCTTTAAATGCCAAGTGAATTTTGTGTGATTACATGAAACAAATTATGACACACATACCTTTAAAAGTCCCTTTTTACAGCTACCTTATGCACTTTTAAAGCAATGTTTTAACATGTACGCTTCTAAATTATATTGCACATCGACTTAACGTGGAATTATTTAGCAGCACTAATTGTTTTGCGTATATTTCTAGTGCAAGATCCTGATGAAGATGCTTTAAAGAGAACCAGGTAAAATTCGTTTCCATGACCCTTCAATTCACCGTTCAAAAGCTGTTGGTCGAACATTTAACCGGTTTCCCCATGTTATCATCTGCAATGCACCTGTTCTCCAATCTGTCTCGTTCTAGATATTTTATTTAAATTTTATGAATTTTAATTTTTTACCTACGTGACTTTACCGAAAAAAACCTAAGAATATGAATCTGTCTCGTGTTGTTGTTGCTGCGACCGCAGAGAGAAGTTTGAGAGTCAGGTGAAGGGGCCACGCTTCAACAAGCTCAAGGAGTGGCACCACGGCCTGTCCGCTAGCTCTCTGCACATCAAGAGCTGAGATGGAAGGGTGGCCCATCTCCCAAGTGGCGGCGCGAGCAGAGGAGAGGGCAGGAGGCCGACCCCAGTTGTCAGCCGGCTTGGCTTCAACTCTCCTCTCTTGCCAATGCACTTTGAAACACACATTAACTGCATCCACGTGTGTTGTTGGTAATTTTGCCTTACGGAGTGCCAACTTCCTTCTATTCTTCTGGCTTATTTTTCCCCCGATTGTATATTGGTGTTTTTTGGTGTGCTGCAAGCGCCCTTAGTTTACCTGCAGTTACTTCTGTCCACCTGCTGCACAAGAAATGGAGATTTCAATAAAGTGTCAATGAAGCTTACCGTTTTTTGTAGCCTTACACATTAGATGCAAGACACATTTGTGATACATATAACATACCTTACAACATGAATGAGTGCATTAGAATTTATTGTAATAAATTAACTGGATATTGGAATAAATAAGATAGAGGTCAAATACGAATACGAACAATATGCACACAGATTTCAAGGACATTTTCACACAATATACAAAGGGAGAATACTTTACGAGATTTTTTTTTAACACAATCATCCTTAGCAATACTACGTATGTCTCCACCATCTCAGTCACTGTTAACATCAACCATCACTATTTCCTTCACTGCTGTCAACAGTAGCTTTTCCATTAAACGCGTAAAGCAAATGCACCCAAAACCTGCACATGGAAATGACTGGTTCGCATATCTGCACACAAACCCAATGATAAGCTTTAAAGTGGACCAGAGATAAGGATGCTTTCATCATTTCACATCACAGGTGAAAACATATCAATACTGCCTTGTGTGGTTAGCTCAAGTTAGCTCAAGAGAGATTACCATCAGAAATCTAACAAAAGACCAACTTCATTGCACAAACTCTATTTGCAAAAATAACCCAGTGAAACCAATTGTATTTCATGTAAACCTTGCTTACCTTTCTAGCACCCAACTCTTGCCACCAAAAAATAAAATTAACATTCAATTTGTATTTGTTAATGCAGCGCGACTGGTCCCCCTGCCACGGTAAGGTAGAGGATGCGAGGTGTGATCTGGCTTGGGTGTCTGGTAGGGGCAGGACTGCGTGTGAGCGTGCGGGGCATGTCAGCCGCCCCGAAAGTGCTGACTTAGACGCTCCAGTGTGTCGCAGCTGTCTGTGCGCATGCTTTCCGCCAGGGCAAGGTACCGCTCGTCCCTGTATACCTTCGCCTTGTAGAGAAGTTCGCTTTCTGAAGAAACAACAGGGAAGCCCACGCATTAATCAGCACAGACACTGTTACGATCACCATTGGCTTAGCATGGCTGGCATCAGCCTTGGTGTAAGGAATGAAATGGGGACCCCTCCTCGCCAAAAAACCTCTCTAATTATGGATGATATTGGTTGCGAAAGCCTACGTGTTAAACTCTTTGTAGTCTGCCTGATGTCTGCACCCCTCTGGCCTGTGGGCCCCATTGCAGATGCACCACCTACACACTCGTTAACCACGTCACTTTGATGTTCACCACAGAACTGCTTCTGAAGCAACTTCATTAGACCTTAATCTATAATCTATACCATTTTGTCCTGGAAACTGTTTTGTTGCTTGTCAAGTAACACTAACATTTAACATTTTCCGGACTGGAATAAGCCGAATCAAGTAAACACCCCCATTTAAAATAATATTCTGTGCTCATATTGGTAACAGCTGAGAAATAAACTCACTATATTTAACAAATTGCACTTTACAAAATATGGAAAAACTGAGATACCTTGTATGGTCCATGTCTTTGCATTTTGTTTAGCAGGATTGTGAATTTATGATTGCCCATGTGTTTATACATTCAAGTAGAGGAAGGTTTATACTTATGATACTGTTCCTTTCCTAATGTGAGCTTACATAAGATCATGATTATTATTCCCTTTGTGTCCACACACTGCCAGCCCAAGCTTTATAGCTGTTGTGGTTTTCACACGAAACAATGTTTGCACATAAACTATACATCATCTTTACTTGGACACAATGACATCAGTAACATATGAGAGAACCTTCAAAGATCCACCGCCCCAAACCAAACATGCGGTGTTGGTGTGAGTGCTCGTGTGAGTGCTCGTTAGAGTGCTCGTGTGAGTGCTCTCTGTACGCACTGTACTGGCGCTCGCGTTGGCAGGATGAGCGCAGTCCTCCGACGTAATCGTCCTCCACGCTCTGCTCCAAGCGTCGCCATGCCTCTGGGATGGCTTTGCCCCGACCCCACGCCTCATCTCCCTCGTCGTCATTCTCCGCCACCGCTGGCGTCCTCTTGTCCGTGTGAATTTGCGCGTCGTCGCCCACAAAGTAACTCACGCCCAGTCTCTGTGTGCGCCGGTGGACTGTGTGTCCCAGCGAGCTGCGTGTTGACAATTGGGTGTAATTGAGAGCGGTAGTGCTACGAACCCGGAGGGGACCCGAGTTCAATTCCCGCTCACGGCCAACACCAGTGACGGTTATTTGAACCGGTCCTGGGCCTCACCTAGGTTGACTCAGCCTCAAATAAGTACCTGGTGTGTCGTGTAAACATTGCTACAGTGAGACAAAGGCGGTTGGGCGTGGTGCTGGCCACTCACTCCCTCGTGTGCCATGCTGGTCTTTATAGGTGCTCGCTAACAGCCCTTGCCCTAACTCTCTTCTGAGGCTATCTGGGGGATCATTGTCTTTGTAATTGAGATATGGCTTGTTAGGAAGCCAGTTTGGTATTTTGTTAAGACGTTTAGTATCCAGTGTAACAAAGCAGTACTCATTTATAAAAGGAGCGTTTTGTTGCAGATCGTGTCGACTAGTGGTACAGCAATTAGCACACTGCGTAAAGAACCCATCGAATTCCGATTCCCAGCCATGGCTGCAATCAGTGGTGAGCGACATCTGAAATGGCCCTGGCTGCCCACCACCCCCCCCCTCCCCAACCTCCTTTAGCATGAAGTATGGTTAAACAATCTCCATAATTAAACGTTTGGGGAAGCCTTACTTTGGCAGTCGATTGATTAAGGGCCGTATATTATTTGTTCTGAATTATTTTAACTTTTTCCACCACTGGCAGTTAAAAATGATACTGCAGCAACATTTTTTCTAAAAATTAGTGGTCGGGAACCTCGGGCCCATGCCAATCAGGCTTACCAATTCAAAACATGTAAAACAATATTTATCCATCCCTGCGAGCATCTTAGCTACAGATTACAAACATATGTTAACGGGAGCGCTATATTTTTTAAAGGTGCATACTTACGGATTAGGAGCCAGGCTGTAAGTGGGTCGCGAGACCATGAACTGCCCAAGTACAGAAACCACTATCAGCAGCACCAGTGGCAAAAACTGTAGCACGCCTGTCATGTCACCCTGTCAAATACCCAGGCACAAGGACACAATCAAAGTCAATGCTTTGCATAGTCTCTGATATTGAAATCTCTGTCAATGCTCCATACACTATCACCATCAAAAGGCCTTTGTTGAAACCGAGGGAATTGGCTTAGACTTAACTGAGTCAAAACACGGCAGCAACCTGAACATAGTGTTCATACTCCTATCCACTGCCAGCTTATGCTCCACAATGTACAATGGTGCCACCACAGAACAGGGGCACCACGATGGCGAGATGTTAACTACCTCGGCTGGTATAAGGGAGGTCGTGGGTTCCATCCCGACCCCGACGCCTGTATATTTGGAGCTTGCATGTTCTCTCCGTGATGGCGTGGATTTTTCTCCGGGTCCTCCGGTTTTTCCCTCCACATTTAGAAACATGCGTTTTAGAGTATTTGGCTAATATCCATTTCCACACGATAAGCCACTTCATCGAGCTATCATTTGTGGCCAGGTCACTTCTGAAAAAGAGATATACCGTTCAGTGGGCCTTAGCTGCTAAAATAACAATTGTTTACTTTTGTGATTTATTTTCTACCTACGTGACTTTACCGAAAGAACCAAAGAGTATGGATTCCTGCAGTCACGAAAGCTTCAGATCAAAATCAAATCAAGATTGTTTACTTTTGTTTAGAACAGAACGTCTGTTTCTGCATTTCATCATCCCAGTCTCAGTGCTGGTTGGTTTATAGTCTATTGTGGGTTAATTAACTGCTTGGATGACTGCTTAAACAAATGGACATACCAAACTACGCTTGTTTGGAGAGGGAGGGTTTCGTGCCGACTGACGAGGCCGGTTGTTTTCATAAGCTTGGCTCCGAGCTGCAAAGACAAGGTGCATCTTACAACAATCACATATCGAACTATGCTGGTGAAATTGTATTCGCATTCAGAAATGTCAGAGGTCTCCTCCGTCAAAATATTCATCAAAAATCAAAGATCTATGTGCCACGATCATATACTCTTGCCAGGTGTTTCCATTATGGCTAGTTCAGAAGGGGAACTAATGGCCTGTACAATGACCAAGCCAACCTCAAAGAGCACAATGATTTAAATGAAGATGTAAAGAAGGGAATCGCCCTAGGGGTCCCAGGAAGCTTTTATGGTGGTTTTGTTATTAAATTTACAACACATGCTATGCATGGCCATTTCATGGCTACACTGCACCATGCTGAGTCATGCAGATTGGCAGACTCCATCTGGGGGAGTTGCCTGTCATGGATGTCTTGTTAAGTAGAACCCCATGAATCATCAGAGCACTTAGGCGCCGCCTTTGACAGAAGCTGATGCTTAACGAACTAAGTCATACTTTAATACGAAGAACCAATGCATTAATAGACACCGAACTGCTTCCTCACCACTCTGAAAGGCGTGACCAAAAAACATGTTGAAGAGTTCTTCGGGAGAGATGTCTGGGTCGGGATCATAGTTGAACCGCGGGCGCCCGCTGTGTCGCCCACTCCCGGCGTATCTCCCCCCCCAGCTGGCTCCATGGCTGGCCCGTCCCGCAGAACCCGGACCACCGGCCCCATCCTCTGCCCCCACGCGCTTCTCTCGCTCGTTGGCCCGCAGGTCATACTGATGCCGCTTCTCCGCGCTGCTTAGCAGGGAGTACGCACAGCCAATCGCTGGATAAAGCAGACGCAGGGAAGCATAGTTCAATTGTGTTGTACACACCGAGTGGTTACATCTATATATATAAAAGGGAAATTTGTAAATGTGTGTCTGTTCGAAATTTTAGCATATTTACCAACATGCAACAAACTTTACATTTGGCATGTGGGTAGCTTCCAGACTGTACACAATGCAAAAAGTATAAAAATAGACTTTTGTATTTTGGGGGGGGGGGGGGGGGGGCGCAATAATGGATATATTTTGCACGGCAAGTGAGCGGTGACGTCACATGCGGCAGCGTTACGAAGTGTGCCTGCTGACGTCACGCATCCCCCCCCACCCTCCGCATACACCGTGAATGAATCCAAGACAAGAATCCAAGTCTCGGGCGAAGCCAGGTAGTAAAGCTAGTAATGAATAACCACCTCTTTCACACCCCACCACGATTCAATTAGCATGATTCACATTCACAGTTGATTCAAGCCTTAATTCGTTTTGATTTGGTTTGCCTGTCCCATAGAATGTCTTCTTCTGTTTCAGTCATTCTATTAGTCTAAACATAAAAACTTGCATATAATTAGTAACGGCAATATTCCACAATCATTTGATGCATGTATTACGAATATACACATTGATATGAATCAATACATCATTAAAAGTCGAAATTAGCATTTCCTGTGGATGTATGACCAACATATTGCAAAAGCTTGGAAATATATTATTCACATAGGTTAGAACTAGAAGAGATGAAATGCTCATGTGACAAAGTACAATCTCCTATATGTTTATGTACTAATTATGGTACCTTAAAGACTACATATAAACAAATCATGCTTGCCAGGAAAGTGACAACACAATGCATTATTTAAAGCCTGTGCAGCTTATATATCTGCTTCGCTTCTAAAATACGTGGACTGCATGAGCAAGTGCACACCCTTAAAGGCTTCTGTTGCTCCAGGAGCGTGGTTCTTGTCTGGGTGGAACTTGAGTGCCAGTTTCCTATATGCCTTCTTGAGGTCATCGTCCGAGACATCCCTGCTGACACCCAAGACTTCGTACATGTTCCTGCAGCCATTTATCCTGAAATACATCACCCATTCACACCACATTGGATGGGGAATATATAATGCAGGGCTACTATCTGCTGCTTTCAGCTCTTCACAGTTCAGTACTGGATATGTGGAAGCATCTTTGTCTGCATAAGCAACATGTGGCTTAGAGCTCCCCTAAGCGTTAGCCAGTCAGGTAACACATACCTCTGGACGCCATACAACTGTTCAGCCGTGTAGCTGCGCTCGGTAGATATCTCCCCAGTTGTCCTGCAATTGGGGTAGGATTTGGCAGAGGTTCCGTGGAGGTTGGCAGGGTCTGGTCCAGAGGGAGCTGTGTGGTAGTGGTGGTGGTGGTGAAAGGCTCTCTGGTTTTCCCAATGGCGATTCTTCCATTCAGCCTTGTCCAGTTCCACCAGAAGAGCTGCCATCAGTTTGAGAAAAAAGTACAGAACTCGGCGTTAAAGCTCTGTGATTATAGCTGTGGTCTATAGTTTACGGTTCGAATAATTATTGATGGTTTAAATATAAACCATTGTTACCAGTGGAATGAATGTCAAGTGTAGTCACCCGCCGCCTGTGCAATATGGTAGGACCGTTGCGCTTTTAGTTAATACAGGATCATAACTACAATGCGCTTTAATAATTTAGTCCACGGCTTAAGAGTTATGGCTGGGGCTATATGGCTCTATGCTTTATGTGTATGTTTAACAATTTTCATCGTGTAATCATTGATAGCCATCCTGTACTATTGGTGGAACCCTAGTCCTGTCACGCCTCGAGTCGTAACAGAACTAGGCCTGTGGCCTTGAGTCGTGAACAGACTAAGGCTTAAGGCTGTCTTCTTTGGTGAAAATGTTTTGATCAATGCTTATTAGATGAACAGTTTAAACAAGTGCGCTTCATTGCAAGGCCCCTTTAGTGTGGCCCCCCACTAGACACTACGTGTGTGAAAGCACCCCCACCACCATCATCATCGTGCTCCTGTCAAACGCAACAATGGTTTCAAACGTGACGGCCGCTCACACCGACGATGTCTTATTGGCGAAAGTGACCACCCTCTGAAAATTAGTAAACACTCGTTCAAAATAGTATGAAAGATATGAAATGTAATATGCGGTATGAGCACCGCGCCTCAAGTCGTGACAGGACCATGACTCTGCTTTTAAGGCTTAAGCATTCGGTCAGCAGGCTTAGCAGACATCGCTTACGCGTGTGCATTTAACATGTTAACAGTGCAAAGAGTGTTGAATGTAGTCACCCGCCGCCTGCGCCGTGTGGTAGAGCCGCTGGGCCTTCGCGAGAAACACGCGGCCTCGATCCGAATCGCCACGGCTGAGCGCGGCCCGGGCCAGGCCCAGGCAGCGGAGCGCCTCGTCGCGGTTTCCCTCCATGGTCAGCGCGACGCCGTGTACACCGTCGGCATTGGCCGCCGCGTACCTGAGTCGCCAAGTTAATAAATCATCGGCGTTTGTCGGGTTACGAGCGAGAGGTGGCGGCGAGCGAACGCGACCGGCGTGGGGAGATCCTCCATGTTGTGTCAGCTGAGCGGTGTTTACCGACGGCGAGCCGATAGGGGACGCGGTTGCGCATTTACCAAACGCGTTTCTTGCTTTTCTTTGTTTGTAGCATGGCCACAATCCTTCTTTGTGGTCTCATTGTCACAGATTTGTAACTGGGAGGAACTTATTCTTTGTTTTTTTCGGTAAAGTCACGTATAAAAATAAAATAATAAATTAAATAATAGCATAATAGCATACGACGTTTCGATGGGAGGAACTTCCTGGTTACACCAGCCCACACGGGATTATTGTGTCCGTCGTGCAGGGAGGGGCTGGGTGGGGAAGGGAGGGTGGGGGAGGGGCTGGGTGGGGAGGGTGGGGAGGGGCTGGGTGGGGAGAGTGGGGAGGGGCTGGGTGGGGAGGGTGGGGCTGGGTGGGGAGGGAGGGGCTGGGTGGGGGGGGTGGGGAGGGGCTGGGTTGGGAGGGGAGGGTGGGGAGGGGTGGGGCTGGGTGGGGAGGGGCTGGTGGGGGAGGGGCTGGGTGGGGAGGGGCTGGGTGGGGGGTGGGGCTGGGTGGGGAGTGGGGCTGGTCACCCCGTGGTGCCCTTATAAAACTCAACGTGTAACCTACTCACGCCGGCTTGTGCCCGCCCTCACAGTCAGGCATATTTGCGGAATACACCACGCCGCCGTTGACCCTGGCCATTGACCAAGCAACCCAACGTTCCTACCAGCTCGCTCCGCAGGAATGTGTTCCTATGAGCCCAGTTCTGCACTCATTTGCGGAGATGTGAACGGGTGGTGGAGCACTTTCGCCGATAAGATATCATCAGTGCGAGGGCCGTCACATTTCAAACCGTTGGGGGTTGGCTACATGTCAATTCATACGGTTTACCCCGTATTCTTGTACAGGGACATTTATATTCTTGGTTCTTTCGGTAAAGTCACGTAGGTAAAAAAAAAAGAAAATAAATCAATTAAATCACGACGTTTCGGAGGCAACACAAGTCTCCGTCTTCAGGTGTATTTAGATCTTGTCTCTTGGATTTCTCCTCACTTGATACAGTAAAATTAGCTGTGACGGTCCCACCTGAAGACGAAGACTTGTGTTGCCTCCGAAACGTCGTGATTTAATTGAGTTATTTTCATTTATTATTATTTTTTACCTAGGTGACTTTACCGTAAACACCTAAGAGTATGAATCCTTGCAGTCACGAAAGCTTCAAATCTAGAAGGGAAATTTATATTCGTGGTTCTTTCGGTAAAGTCAGGTAGAAGGGAAATAATGAAATAATTAAATTAAAACATACTAAAATAAAATTCTCACGACGTTTCGGCCACAACGCAAGCAGCCGTCCTCAGGTGAAGAAACAGAGCTGTCGAAAAGACAGCGTCCTAATGAACACTGGCAGCGTATATTTAAGCTGGGTGGGAGGAGAGCGCCTTGACAAAGGAGTTTACATATCAACAGAGGAATTTAGCATATTGATGACTAATGCAGATTTGGGATTAGTCACTCCTTGTGGAATGTGTAGGCGGTGGGGGGGGGGGGTCTCAAAGTCATTATGCTAGTGTATTATGTAGGATTAGGAATAATAAAGGGAGGCACATTTTAATAATAAAGAACTGCAACAGCCCAAACCACCGCGTATCAAGCTAGTGCATTATGTGGAAAAAAAAAGGAGTTTCTAAACAACTAAAAAAATCAGGGAAATTTAGTTTAAAGTGTGTATTTTTGTTTGTGTTTCTCCCTTCGGAAGGAAGGAACGTTTGTAGGATGAACGTTGAGATATATAAGGGGCACGGGGTTACCAATAAGGTCTGAGATGGTCTGTAATAAGGTGGGGCACTGCTAAGGGGTTAACATGTATGGGTTTCGATTTAAAGCTTTCGTGACTGCAGGGATTCATATTCTTGGATCTTTCCGTAAAGTCACGTAGAAGTGAAATAATTAAATAAAATATAATACAATTCTCACGATGTTTTGGATTTCCGACAGCTCTGTTCTTCACCTGAGGACGGCTGCTTGTATTGTGGCCGAAACGTCGTGAGAATTTTATTATGTTTTATTATTATTTTTAGATTTGAAGCTTTCGTGACTGCAAGAATTCATACTTTCAGGTTTTTTCGGTAAAATCACCTAGGTAAAAAATTAGTAATAAAAAGAAATAATAAAAAATAATAGAAAAAAATAATAGAAATAAAATAAATATTTTTAAATTAAGTAAATATTTTTTTCTATTATTTAGTAAAAAATACCTACGTGACTTTACAGAAAAAAACCTGAGAGTATTATTTTTTATAATTTCCCTTCTACGTGACTTTACCGAAAGATCCAACAATATGTATGGGTTTGACAGCAGCACGATGTGATTATGGGGCTCATCACATGTTGTGTATTGCACGTCAGGGGCCGCACTAAAGGCCACGAGTGGCCCCCAGGCCTTGCAATGACGACCACTTCTCTTGCCTGATTATGGGATTTACCCGCAGATTTAAAGCTAATCATGTAAAACTGGCGTAGTTTCACTTCTAGCATTATACTATGGCGTATTTGTGTTACCACCAGCCAGGTCAGGGGGCCTTATGTCTGTTGTCTTGATGATGGGATTTATTTGCAGATTCATATTGACTCGTTCCAGATCAGCGGTTGGTACACACATTTTAAGAACTATTATCAATGAGTTTTTTAAACATCTACTTTTCTGCTCAAAGAACGGATTTCGGATATTTGTTTAAGCTGAAGTGTAAATATTACAATTACTAATTCAATAAACAGACAGGAGTGGGTTTAACCAGGTAAAACATGCCATTCTATTATATTGGCAATCTGAGATCTATTGTTTAAGAGCGCCTTATACATCTAAATAATTATAATTATTTGGGCCTTCAGGACTAATGTTTTTTTCCATTAACATTTAAGAAAACCCTCAACTGGTTTTTAATTTATAGATCGAGAAGTGTTGTACATCGGTTTTGCGCTTTTCATTTCCTAAATATGTCAACTCTGTTTTTTAGGGTACTTTGGCCCCGTAAAACTGTCTCCATAAAGAAGCTGACCCCAGTACCACACATGCATTTGATTTCAGCATTATACATTGATGGCTCCAATGTATTACCATTGCCGCTTCACAAAGGAGTGATTTAAACATTGACATGTTTTGGTCTTAGTACTGTAAAGCACTGTTTACAGACACTGGGCTGCAAATATTTGATCTCAATCAGCAAATATTGTACTCTTTCGTGAAACTTAAGCTAACATTGGCTCGCAAAGTTGCCTAGCAAATGGCTAGGTTTGTCCAATTTTGGAAGTGTCAGGAGCATACTTGTGTATACTGCTCTTAGGTAGTGTGATTTTATATCATATTTTCCTTGCAAATGAGGTGTTACTGTTCTATCAGCTTATAAATACTGGTAATTGAAATGAACCAAAGAATGTTCTCAAAACCGCACGCAGAACCATGCTGGGAAATTCAGTCATAAAATGCGGGCACTTTCCTGGGTAAAATATATTTTTTTGAATTACAGGACTCCTTTGCAATACCAATGAAAAGTATATATGTGCACCAACATGTTTTTAAAGTTTAAAACACACGCATTTATTTTCAATACATCTGTCACAGCAAACGAACCGCAATGCTGATTTTGGCAGAAGGTGCATTTAAAAAATGCGCGAAATCAGTACGTAAACACTGGCAGAAATTACAGCCCTTTGTTGCGAAAATAACTAATCCAAACAAACCAATTGCTGACGTTTGCACAATCGGGATCCACACGTGCGGGATCCAAGTTTCTCTTCATGACCCCTCCCCCCCCCCTTCAAAGCCCCCTGTGAGGGTTGCTCTTTTTCTTCTAAATATTTTCTCTCCCATGATATTAAATTCAATAGTAGAGGGCACTGATGCGAATATTTAAACGTGCATTATCGGTGGCATAAAGATAGACAATAACTCAATCCGGAAGAGGCCAATATTGACCGAAATGTATTGCCTCGAGACACTTTGTTCAAGGACGCGGCGAATCAAACAGCGGTGCATAAAAGTGCGTGCATTGAAAAACTTTGCTTTTTTAAACCAATTTTTTGTTTTATTTCACATTTCGCAGTGCAGACTAAAAATATTGAAATACTCACTGCCCCCACCACCACCACTTGCGGCTCGTAAAAATACAAAACCGGACACGAAGTGACCACTCAATCCCATACCTGTCAACCCATATGGTTCACCCCGTATTCTTGTGTAGTGTTGTAAATAAAGGCAGACGACTTCTTCTTGTCTGCTTATAGAACACTTGCTTTAGTTATGCCGAGGATCCGCCGTCCGTCGCTCGTTCACTCCCTGACTCGCCGCGTCCCTATGGGGCCGTCCATAAATGACGTCACGCACCAGGGGGGGGGGGGGGTTTGAGAAATGTGACGTCACATCAAAATGCGCAACTTTAAATAAATATAGAAAACACGTTCTACTGAATGAAATATACTTTTTTATATAAATGTTTTCTCCTACAACATCGGAGTGCAGCGGCACATTAAATACGCACTACAATGACAATAGTTTAAAGCGATTTGAAGCATTTTTGGGGGGGGGGCAGAGCTTTGTGACGTCATATTTGAGGGGGGGGGGTCTGACTTTTTGTGACGCCGTTTGACTAGGGGGGGCGGGGGTCAAAAATCGTCCAAAATCGCGTGACGCCATTTATGGACGGCCCCTTATACATCCCTCGCGACCCCTTCCAGAACATTCTCCAGATGATCCCTCGATGATTAGCAGACACCGGTCTTTATAATTCCGTTTCCCTTATTTACCCCAACGGAATTACCCCAAAGGTCACCCTGACCCTGGCTGCTCTCGACGATCCCATGATGATAATGATCACCAATCACCAATCACCTTCTTCTGGCTGCCAAGCGCGGACATGCAGCCGTTCTCGAATATGCGCGCGTTGAACCACCAAGAATATGAATATTCTTCTTGGTTCTTTCGGTAAAGTCATCAGGTGAAGAACAGGTCTGACAGACAGTTCTGTTCTTCACCTGAGGACGGCTGCTTGCGTTGTGGCCGAA